GGCTTGATGCATAGTCCAGAATAAGTTGTGGTGAGAGAATGCTCCGGTGGTCTGACGTAACTCTGTGGGATGGCACAGGCCTTACCCAGGAGTCTTTAACTTCCACCATGGAAGTTAAGGTGAGGTGGGGAAGAAGACCCCAAGCCCCTTCCTGAAATGCTCAACTTTCTCTTGTAATGTGCTTCATGTTATAATTATCTCAGAGGGGTTTTACCTGCACTACATTTTATTCTCTTAATGTCTCTGGCTTTTGCAGTCAGCGCTGTACCTGCACTCAGCAAGAGGGCTCATTTGGCAAATGCATCAATGCGTGACATCATTCCTGCAGTGTCTCTGGGCCTGTGTAAAGCATTGGCAGTATCTGACTGCACTTCCTGCATGCGGTTGGAGGCAGCTGTGAAATTTCATTGATGATGACCAACAGGAAATTCTGAGGGAAAAAACCTCAGTTCAAGGCTCGCGAAAGGCCGCGGCCTGATTAGTTCCTTGGCTAATGATCATACATGGCAATAGGGCAGGACCTAGTGCAGAAGACTGCACTGCAAAGTGTGCTTTTCAAAGTAATTAGCTGTAAAATGAGGAAAAGCAACGTTCATCCCAAATTAATGGTGGTATAGAACCCACCACATTTATTTTTAAGAGACCATTAGAGAGCCTTGCTGGCGTTTCAGCAGCCATGTAGAAAGCTGTGTGCTAGTGAGGTGGGAGGATTGGTCCCTAATGGAAATCGTGCATGGCATGCTGGGATGCACAATGCAGAAGGGACAAAAGGTTATTAAAAGAAATTCTTATCAGAAGTACTTTGACATTAGTCCTCAAGTAATTATTTTTATCCTTCGATAGGTGCATCTGCATGCTATTGTGCTAACACTGCTGCTTCTCTTATTAATGATACTCTTTTAAGCTTGCTTCACAAGAGTAATCTAGCAGCCTGTACTAATTAATGCAGTTCAAATGAAACATAGTAAAAATAAAGAAAAAGAGAGGGGAAGACAAAACCCAACACTTAGGCAGTTTGATGCCAAAACAAACGTGCAAGGCTGTACCATGTGGGGTACATACAGAAAAGGTACCTTCTACCTTTCAGGCATTTAACAATTGTTGAGTGTTATGAAATGCAGTGGTACCTTTCTACTAAGATATCCTGCTTTCCCACCCTTCACCAAAAGGTTGTTAATCATCAGTCTTGCTGTTGGCTTCAGTGGTCTGAATTAAAGTTAAGTGCATTTGCAATTCTTTCCAGCAACAGATTCTAACCCCAAGACTTGTGTACCTTTTGTCACTGAACAGTAAGTTTAGTGGAGAAATATGTCCTGGGTAATGTTATCAGCTTCTGCTCAAAGGTTTACAAAACAAGAGTTCACAGGAGACTGATACCTTTCATGTCCTTCTTTAACAAGTGATGTTTGGAGTGTTCTGTAATCAAAATATTGTGCCAAACACTTCCTAGAATGGTCAGACCAACCCGCAGAAGACCTTGAATCTTGCACAACTGCCTTTCAATCAGGAAAATTTGTAGTGTATGAGGTACTGCTCAGATGACAGTTTTTTCCAGTATGCAGAATGTTTGTATTACATTATTTAATAGTCTTGGATATGGCAAAGCTTGATCCCAGTATGTCTTTTTTTTTTCCTAATTGGTTGTTTCAATGGGAAGATTGAATGTACCGGAATCATTGCTTCCATTTGATAGGAAAAGCAGGCTTGGTTTTGAATTAAAATTATTTTATAAATCTGTATTTGGATTCCATTTTAATTGTTTAGTATGCAGGACAGAGGTGAATCTCTTTTTCTGAGCCACGAACTTTGAAATCAATCTTCCCTGCTTCTTTGCTAAGTTTCACTTGTAAGTAATAAAATAAGTTTACTACTGTGAATTGCCTTTCTTCAGGAATAGTTTTTTTGTGAACCACACAATAACAAGTAAATACCAAATACAGGTTTATGGTAAGTTTTACGAAATACAATCTTTTGGATCCACTGCTTTTCCCAATGGCAGTCCCTGCTGTCCCAGTGCTGATGGCTTCCTTTGGCTCCCCCTCCCTGGGAAGTGCTGCTGCTTTGGCAGTGCTGCCTTGGTGGGAAATGCACAGCACCCCCAAGGCAATGGTGGCAAGTTCCAGTGCAGTATTAAACACTCCTGCTCAAAGGTCAGTGGTGTTGAATTGATAGATTGATGCAATTACTTAGTGGGGAAATGTAGTGTCCAGCTAAAACCCAGTTCTCTTCCCCTGCTCCTAACCCATTCTCTTAAGGTAAGCAGTGTATTATTCCTTGCTTTAGACATACTGGCACTGCTGAATAAGTGACTGACTAAAAGCTGGTGGGTCTAAAGAAATGAGAAATGTCATTTATGCAGCACAGGAAATTAGTATTATTATTTTTTATTGCTGACCATTAGCATTTGTTCAGCTTGCAGCATTTGGATTTTGTATTTGGAATGATATCCAAGTTCAATAAGTAAACCTATAAAGGAGTCTAAAACTGGTCTCCAGACTAATTCTTCAGAGGTGATTTTGTTTGCTTTGGTTATTGACTAATGAGCAGCTGAGTTTTATGATGTTAAAGAAGGGGAGAGGTCTGAAGTAGGAAATACAACCTAATGCTTTCAATTAGCAATGTGCACGATGTGATATCAGCCATTTCCTAGCACTGAGATATCATTAATAACCTTGAATACAAATTTGCTGATTAAAATATGAGCTGGCCTTTTTCTTCTAGAAGTATATTGCCATAGGAGAGCGATGAACGGATTGTGGGAGGAAAGGTTGCTCTTGGTTTTGTTAGTCAGACAGTTCTATGAAGATATTTCAGAGTTGCTGGATTTGTGACTTCCTTGAAGAAAATCCATTAGAAGAACTGCTGTGCTTTTTGTTAGGTTTCAGTGAAGCATGTGGTGTACAGAGAGGGGACACGCATCCTTTGGGATGTTTTCTTCCCTTCTCATCCCATTCCATTTCCCTAAATTATTTTCTGTCTCCATATTGTGGTGACCTTCCTTGGGGTTTTTTTTTGTTTTGTTTTGTTGTTTGGTTTTTTTTTGTTAAAGTACCTCTGGATGTGAATTCCTCTCTCATACTTGAAGCGAGGGGGCCAAATGCTGCTCCTGCTTGTCTGTCAGTGTGGCTTGGTCCTCTCAGCCTGAATTAAAACTTTAATTGGCTATTTTCATGTTGGTGCATTTCGGTATATTCCTGGCAGAGGGAGTTCCTCAGGACCGGGAAGTGTTGCTGGTGTGGGTTTGGATTGCTTTGCTTAGGGGTGTGTTGTTTTTCCCTGGTGGCACCAATACGGTTCCCATCAAGTGGGCTGGTGTTGCTGTAAGCCAAAGATGAGAACCCATCACCAAGTGAGCAAGGAGCTCTGACGTCCCACAGGATGACCTCATTGCCAAGCAAGATTTTGCAGAAGCTGCGAGCAGAGTCGCTCTGCAATTTAAGTCACCTAAACAAGCCACAAGAGTGAATTTACACTTTAAAATACAATTTCACTTTCAATTAAAAAACAAAACAAAAAATCTTGTGTCCTTGTTTCCTTTGCAGGACCTGCCTGTAGCTCGTTTTTTTGGGAGAGCTTTAGTTGTGGTAGGGTTTAAGTGTGAATCATGGGTGAGGTATTGCTTTTATTGTAATTTGCAGAAATGATCAACAGCTCAATGGAAAAGTATGTATGAAAGGAAATATGGCCAGCACTTCAGTGCCTAAAATGATTATTAAACCAGTTGAGGTTTCATTTGAAAAGTTAGTTATTAAGTAGGTAGTCTGTCTGTGATGTGATAGCAGTGGGAACACTGCATTTACTCAGAATATTTGTGTGGGGGGTTTTGGGTGCATCTTTTAATCATGATTTGAATGTATTGTGTCTTGACTTTTTCTTGGCTACACGCATTCCCCCCCCCCCCATGATTTGTTTTGCTGCAAGGATTCTTACACTGGTGTCTCAAAAATCTGAGTAGCAATTTTTTTCCAGGCAGAGTTGCATATGCAGGTTTAGTAGTTTTAAGTGGAGATGTGAACTCCATTGAAAATCCTTTGTGGGTGGGTTTGCAGCTGGGCTTCATGATGGAATTCAGGTCATCAGCCAGAAAACAAAGCTGGAATGGTGTCAGGAGTCTGCACAAGAGGGTTATAGGTCTGGAAGTGGGACCAGAAGTGTGGACATCATACAATGGGAAGTGTATCATGGGGGGAGGATGGGAAGTCTGGAAGTTAAGTCAGTATCAAAAATCACTCAGACACAACTGTAAAACCAATAAGATAGGTATAATAGGGGTAAACTATTAACCAATAAATAACTCCTAAGAAATTTGAAGAGAAAAAAATTTGTACTGGAAGGGTTGTTTCTTGAGGTTTCCATCTACATTCATTGCAAATACCAAAAAAACCAATTGCTTGGGAAACCACACTGATTTTCACTATGTTTGTCCTTTGGAGTATAAGTGGAGGAAGTGCTGATTTACCTGTCATTCTCCAGGGAGATTTTGAGGACTAATACAGGACTTGATTCTCTTGTTCTTTGTGTTATTCAAGTAGAAAAATATCCTTTGTGTAAGAAAAAGTGAAATTACCTGCTTTCTTTGCTACTTAGAAGTAACTTTTCAATATATCTGCGTAGAAATTCAAGACAGAATTTGCATTAATGTTTATTTTGGGTACTGGAATGTTTCCAAGGTGTCTTCATAGAGTCTAGATGCTGTTCTCTACCCTGTGGAAGAGTTTCTGCTCCCGTGTGCTGCTGGCTCTGGGGGAATGTCCACAGGCAAGGAGAGCAGGAGGACAATGATGACATTACTGTGTGGACTGGAGGACAACCTGTCTCTATAAATACACATTATTTTTCCTGTTAAATCACTGATGCTGAGAGTGGTTTTTAGATGAGCTATTTTTAAGAGAGCATGTTACCCACTAAGGATGTCATTACGTGTTGCAAGAGTTTTAATGTAAACTGTTTACATATTGATCTTGTTGTATATTAAGCTGCTTTTTCCTTATCTTCAACAGGCAGCCAGATAAACTAGTGGTGGTTTGGACAAGAAGAAGCAGAAGAAAATCCTCTAAGGTTAGTTGATTGCTTAATAAGTCCCAACTTGAGTGACAAACAGGGTCAGTGCTTTGAGGGACTGTTCTGCTGAATCTGGGGAGCAGCCAAATAAATAAATGAGAAGTATTTTAGTTGTTGATTTTTCTTTTTAATTCAGTTTATCCATAAAGTTCAGAATAAACTGCTGTTGATGTCAGTGCTAATTTGTGGGAACTCTTAACTCTGATTTCAGCTTTGGTTATTTGTTTAGCAGAACTGTATCACCGTCAGTTCAATTCAGTTATTAATTGCTAGACCTAATTAGAAAGGTGAATTGGTTTTTTTACTAGATGTATATTTAAAAAAAAACCCCAACTAATTAAAAAAAAAGTAATAAAGAATCTGGCATCCCTGCAATAGGCAGATAAAGCCTGTATAAGAGGCTATTTCACAACCTGAAATGCTACAAATAAGAAAAGTAAAAGCAGGGTCTTTCAGCCCAGCAGTGTGTCTTTGAAGTGAATATTTACATCTTACTTATACAAACACTGTGGGCAAACCTGTAAATTTATTTTTGATGACTAATAACTTGGTAGCCTGAGGAATGGGAAGCTCTGAGTGAAGTCTCTCCAGTGCTTGGACACTGATAAAGTTTGTCTTTCACGGGGACAGGAGTGCATGCTGTTTTCCTTCCTTCCCAGGAGCATCTCCTCTTTGACATGACTTGGTCTTACTCATTCCCTCATTGCCTTTCCCCATGCTGTGGCCTCTAAGCCTGGTTGGATTTATGGCAAATGATCTTGTCAGAGAGGAAATTTTGGAAGTTACAATAATGCTTTGATACTTCAGTTAAAAAAATGATGGTATAAGCTTCTTTTTCTTTTTTGTCTGTGTATTCGTGTAAGGCAAAATGATGTCTCAAAGAACTCTAATAGTGGAGAGAGGGCATTCATGATAGGGAAGATATATTGAAATAATTGTGTTGAAGAACTTAAATGTTTAGAAAATATGATACACAGTTTTCTACCCTGCTCAGGAGAGGCTTTGGGTTTATTTTTTATGGGTACTCCTCTTTTTCTGACTGTCATGCATATTTGTTGTATTTTGTCTTTTAACTTGAGGTATAAGCTATTCTAGGCTGTTTTAGATAGAGACTGGTTCCTGACTGCACAACTAAAGGATGTGCATCCAAAATTCTGCTTCATGTTATGAAAACCCAAAGGTGTTACCTGATGAGTAAACAAGGGTGTGAGCTCAGTCTGGTTACCTGTTCCTGTTCCATACTCTTCAGCAAAGCCAGTCAGACTATTCCTGTTTCACTGAAATATCAACTAACTCAAGTTCCTTTGAATTTACAGCACAGTGTGTGTCTAGGCAGTAAGTGCTGATGTCAGTAACTGATGTCTGATGTGGCTCATCCTATGACTAAAAGTTATATCAAACAGTAAATGCAATGCTTACACAAGCTTTGTAACCCTGAAATGATTGGTGAAAAACAAGGTATTTGCTTTGTTGGGGTTCAAAATATGTTCAGAAACAGGAGCCATAACAAGTCCAGCATGGCTTTGTGAACTGATGGTTTTCTGCCTGTCATTTTATAGGATCCAAATGACAGCATTTCCCTGAGGCAACAGGATTTTCTGGCATTAGCTTAGCCTTATGGGCTTGAAGTTTTTTTCAGCTGGGCCATAAAGTTCCATGATATGTCCTCATTTTTGGTCACCAGGCAGTAGAAGCAACTCTTGGATAAACTAGCAGATTTAAACCTGAGACTCAGAAAAATCTTTGTCTGACTAAGTCATGTTTAGCAAGAACCCACAAAGGTACTTTGGAAGAGGCTGAGTGGCCCTGAAACCTGGGCAGAGCATAGAGTTAATTTTAAAGTTTCGGTAGTTGATGTGACTTGAGCTGTTTGGGTCAAAAACTGTAGATCAATAAATGTTCTTGATCTCTTAGTCATCCTGCCAGTAAAATACTTTATTCAACATACTTGTTTCATCTAATTGCTTTATTGGAAGCAAGTCAAATGAATATTTCCTCTTATTTTATTTTTGGTGGACACTGGGTTCAGTGAGTACAAAGCATTAATAATGGTCTGTTTTTCAGCTTCTTGAGAGGGAGGAAGGGAGGGATGAGATTTTACCTTACTGTAAGGATGTTGTGAAGACTTTTTGGAGGTTATGTTTTCTGAACTTTTCAGATCATTAATGAGGGATATCACCAGCAGATAGTTCACAGACTCACAAACATGGCCCTTTGGATGCTCTCCAGCAGCTCTGTCTTTTTTGTACTGGGAAAGTGCAAGAGATGTATTAAGCAAAAATGTCGTGCAACTGGAAGATGGAGCTCTGGATGAGCACTGGGATGCCTGCTCTAACTGACACAATTTTAAAATGCTGTTGAGCTGAAAGCTAAGTTCTTGATGTCCTTTGAAGCCCTTGTTTTTGTGGGTTTCCATGATTTTGATATGCTTCCTGCCCCACGTGCTCTTTTTCCAAATAAACTACAGTGGTCCCTTTATTAAAATAAATAATAAGAGGCATTATATGCAGGAATCTGAATATTTTTCTTCTTACTGTGGGAAACATAGAATAGGAGCTGTAGATAGGTTTAATTACAGTAAGTTTCAAAGTGTTGCAAATGAAAAGCAAACACCCATTTTGAAAGAGCTTATAAATAGCAGTCTAATGGTTGGATGGATACAAGACCATAAATATATCCAGCAGTTACTGACCTTAATGCAGATTTAAGTTACTTACAGTTCTATTTTGGGACCTGCTCTCCATGGGCAAGTCTAATTTCAGTGTATTTCATGAGATGTGTGAGGCCGAGGTGGCTCTGTGTGGTTGGGCATCTCCACTGTGTGTGCCAGGAGTTTACATAAAATGGTGATTTGCAGTTTTGCTGTGCTTGGCAGAATTGCTGTGCAGTCCTAGAACCAAAATGAACTTTCATCTTGGGGAGGGTGGGAGTCTGCTGGTGCAAATGTTGTCTGTTTGCAAAATCAGGTACACTCTTCAAGCTTTATTTAGATGCTGTTCAGCAGCCATGGTTTACAGAAGGTGCAGCTTGTAGCTGTGGACTGGTTTAACTCTTCTTCAGTACCCTGGCACACTGGAAAGTTGCCTGCCCAGGTTTTCAGGCCCTGGGCTTTTGGATCTGTCTCTTTCTTTTTTTTTTTTTTTTTTGCCTTTTTTTTTTTTTTCTTTTTTTTTTTCTTTTTTTTTTGAGTGGTGGAAGAATGTCTTTGTTCTAGTGTAGAGCAAGGGAAAAACTTGTTGAAAATACGTTTACCTTCATTTCATGGAGATGCTCTCAAATTTCCAGGCTTTGAACTAATAAATTTTGATTTGAAAATAGATGTTGCCGTGATGTCAAGGAGGTACTTTCCACTATTCCTGTGAACATGCAGAGGCTTACAGCTGAATTATACACCTCTGAAGAATCAAATTTGCACTTGCTTCTGAGAGCCTGACAGAATTATTCTTCAAAGATTCTGTTTGTATCAAAGCTGAAAGAAGGTGCCTTGCCTGTGATTTCAGCACTTCTCTTGCAGGTTTATCAAAAACTGTGTAAGCACAAAGGAGAGGGAACAATGCTGAGAAGAGGGAAGGAACTTGGGCAGTGAGAAGTGAGAGCCAAGAGAGGCAAAGGGGCATGGAGTAAAAGGAATCTCTTGTACACAACAGCAGCCTGGCCAGCATTTTTCCAAGGTTCTGCCATAACTAAAGCAGCAGCTGGGTCACCTCTTCTGCTGTTTTTGGCAATCTGTTGCCTCTTCTGGCTACTTTATTGCCCAGTGCCAGCCCTGCCTGTCCCTGCTGGGCTGGAGTTCCAAAGACATGTTGTGACCTTGGCATGCTGATGACTGTCTGGGACCAGCACAGTTCAATAATGCCACTCCTGCACCTTCTCAGTTTTTTAGTAAAGTTACAAGGTCATGCTGTGATTGTAATCCCTGACTGTAAACTGGAGGTCGTTAATACTCTTCTTTTTTCCAGGAGTCCCACAAAGTTGACTTGTGGTGACATTCTGAGGTGCAGTGATGGTTGTCCCAGAAAACAATGAGCAAAATAACTCTGCGCTCAGGTTTTTTTTTGTTTGTCTGGGCTTTGATTTTTTATTTGGTTGGTTGTTTTTCATTTCTGATAAGAAACCCTATAGATGATGTGAGAAATCGATTGAAGAGACAGGGAACAGGCTCTTTATCTGAGCATCATGTACTGTGGGTGGTGAATAAGGCAAGACCTGGTGAACCAAATAGCGTGAATCATGTATTTAATACATGAGGTATTCATCATGTATGTCATGAATGTGTGTGTGTGAAATCAAGCTTGAAGAGGTAGCCCAGTCCTGGAGAAGCTGTGGTGGAGATGAGTTTTTGCTCATTCCCCAAGCTTGGCAGTGTTTCTGAAGCTTTGCAGCAGTAACACACATGTGCACAGTGACAGTTGTAACACGTGTGCCTGCCGATGAATTGAAGACATTCATGGGAAGACCTGTGGGAATCCACTGGTTTCCTTGTCTGCTCTAAGGGGGCACTGACAGCAATGTGTTGATCAAAGGCTGCCTGGAGTTTCCAGGGCTTTGAACTTCCTTCTTTGGCACGTGCTGGGTTTTTTGGACTGCATCCCAAGGAATGAGTGTGACTGAAGCGTTGTTCTGGTGCCCAGCCTTTTTAACTGGTGGGACAAGCACAGGGATTTCAAGATGCTCATGGGGGGGATGCAAGCTGTGGTCTGGAGTATGGCCTTTAATTTGTCTCCCTTTGTGACACTGAACTGAGTTACAGAAGAACAAGAAGCAGCCATTCACAAACTGCTGGTTTCCTCTGGTGTGAGGGAATTGGCAGCTTTTCCCAGTCCATTCTTTTTCCAGTAGGTCTGTAGCAGCCACACACAACTCTGGCTGTCTTGGATGGTGAATGACTTTGGTGGGATGCATCACATGGAGCAAATCCTTGGTGTTCCACTCCTGGCATGAAGGCACCAGATGAAGGATCTGGCTGCTTAATGTTGGCTCTTCCTCTTGAGTTTTTTTTCTCTTTCCTTTTCTAACTAAGTGTTCTGCATGGATAATGCTGAAGAAGAGAGATTATCCTTACAAGCTGAACTGGCCTAAGCACTACTGGAGCCAGTTGAGCTCCTGCTTGCTTCTTGTGCCCTGAACAGCCTGTCACACCAACAAGTAGCAGAGCTGGCCTGATCACAGGCAGCTGGCAAAAAAATTTATAAGGAACAGAAAATCAGCAGTTTGCTGGCTCACAGTAAAGCCACTCTTGTGGCTGCAGATGAGGAATAATCATAGGTCTGTTTCAGATGAGTTTTGCTTTTAAAACCCAATATTTACAGCTTGGCAATAAGAACATATTTTTTATTCATAAATATAAACTATTCCATAATTTGCAGCAGGGTCAAAATATTATGGTCAGCTTTAGCATCTTACAGAAAAGTAATATGAAATTATCCTGCACAACAGGATGAGTCAAGGTGGAAGTGATGAAAGTAGAAAAGAGGTGAAGCATCTGAAAGGGCAGGTTCCTGAAATAATGTGGGATCAAGTCTGTCATTCCAGTTCAAACACAGCAAAACAGTAGTGATTTTCACATCACAGGTGGTGGATTGCAGAGCTGGCTGCCTGGATTGGAACTGTTGTTTTAAAGAGAAAAATGGATAGCCTGAAGTGCCCATGCAACTTCTGTGGGTTCATCTCCACTGCCTTTCTTTAAGAGATTTCCTCCTCTCCCAGTCATCAGTTTTGTGCCAGAGCAATGCCGTAGGTTGGACAATGTCATTCACAGCCCTACTCTATTTATAGGATATTTCAGCAGCCCATCCTGTAGCTCCTGTTTCCAGATTTAAAAGAGCTTTCATGCTATGTTGTCTTCTCTCATTTTCTACTGGCAGAAAAAAAGGAAGAGTTGCCTTTTGCTTTGAAATGCAGCAAAGCACTTCTGCCTGTCTTGGCAGACCATGGCTCCCATCCCTCAGGTCTGGAGAGAAGTCAGGCAGGGCTGTGGGTGAGGCACCTGCTGCTGGAAGTCACTTCTGCTTAGCTGCCCTTGCCTTGACTTCCAACACAACGGGAGATGGCTGGTGAAGACCAGTAGCAAATGAGGAAAAAGTGGGTCTAAAGGCACAACCACCTGATGGAAAATGGGTTAAGGAGAGGATTAGGGTGGAAATGTATTGTGTGCAGCTGCAGGACCCAGCCTTGGCTGAGCCCTGATGGCAAGTCCTTGTCACCTGCAGCGGTGGCCTGATCCAGCTCCAAGTCAAGGCTTATAATTTGGGACTTGAAAAGGGTTTTTGATACAAGCCAGATGTAACTTGAAGAAACTGCAGCATAGAGGTGCCTGGCATGAGAAATGTTGCATTAGAATAACACTCTGCATCTTAATTTTAAATTACTGTCATTTCCCAGTCCTCCGTGTTTCTTTGGATTTGCTTTCCCCTTTCCATTTCTCCTTCCCAACAACCCAGGCAGTCCTTTTGATGTTATCTTTTTCTGTCATGCTGTTTATGTGATACAGTGTTTATTTTTCAAAGCCAGAGGAGGACTTGATAACATTCATGATCACAGAACAGCTTTGCTTTAAAAGCTCATTAGTTAGAACTTGTCTCCTGGTTGTTGCTTTCAGTGACAGAAAAACATATATATCCCTGAGTGTTTATTGTGTCTCACTGACTTTCCTGGTGCGAGGAAATGCTGATAAAGGGCTTGAAGTGAAGTGTTGACTGCGCCACTGAATGCTCATTTTTCTAGGGTTTTTTAATAGATGGAACAAGTGCTCCTCAGCTGAGCAGGCTGGCAGTGCCTGGAACCTTGGACAGCAAAAGTTTGACATAATTTTCAGTATTGGCCAAACCCAGCAGGAAAGCACAGGTTTCAGACGCACCATGAGCTCCAATTATTTTTGTAAAAGTGGTACCTGGAAAGAGGATGGAGTGCCCCTATGGAGGAGAAGTTACTGAATTTACAGGATGCTACCGGGGACATGGCAGATGAGCTTGTGCCTGGCTCTGGATCACTGCCTCGTGTCTGCTGAAGAATCTCTGTGGGCAAGCTGGGAGTGATGCAGGGGGCTGTGGGTTCTGTGGGACAGAGACACAAACTGCAGCTCCAGTGTCTGTGGTAGTAGTGATATCTACTGTGGTGTGTATTGCTGCTCACAAAATACCTTTCTATTGTAAAATAAGTTTTGTTTGTGTTATTTAGTGTTGTTTGCTCTGTTATTCAGAAAATACATCCAGGCCCTCTTTAGAATGAGGAGATTAGACTGAAATTCGTGGAGCAAAACCAGTAGAAACTGGCTTCTTTCAAGTTGCTCTTACTTCAAAATTCCCTTTTTTTAGAAGCTCCAAGATGCTAGTCTGCAAGCAGAAAGCATAGATACTCACTGAAAAATCAGATCTAATTAGGCATCTTTGGGAGCTGGGGTTTCAAGCAGAACATCAAAGAGAAAAAAATTAGTGATAAAACCAAAGGAGAGCTGGCAACGTTTGGCACTCCCTGCTGTACACAGTGGCAGAGAGCTGCTGCCTCTGTAGGGATGGGCCTGCTTCTCCAGCTTTGTCTTTCCCACTTTGGAAAAGCAAAGTCATTCTTAAAGTTGCCCAGATTACCTTAGGGTCTCAGAGAACCTGAGTCACAGGTCCTGCTAACCTTATTAAAGCAAAAATATGTTCTAATAAACAGCCTGAATCTGAACTTCTGAGTTTTGGAAGGAGTACAAAATTGCAATGATTGATGCTCTAGAATTAAAAAAAAAAAAATTAAAAAAAGCCAAGTTAATTTGCTTGAAGTAACAGTAAATAGATTGTACAGTCTCCCCTGATAAAACTTCCAGATGTTTCTAATGACACCCTGGCTCCATAGCTGTCAATTCTGCAGCAGCATCCTTCCCTCATTTGTCTTACAGCATCACAAAATACATTAGGTTGAGCTTGGAAAACGGCATACTTATTCCAAACCAGACTGGAAATGCTCACACATGGTGTTTTTTAGGACTAGCTGTTAAAATGTAAATACAGGCCATACACTAATTCAGACTGATGCTCAGAGGTAGACAAGTTCTCAGTCTATTTAACTGTTGTGGTTTTTTTATGTTTTCTAGGTGTAGGTACTCCAGCACATTAATTCTTAAAAATTTAACTGTTTTAGTAGCATTATAAACCATGGTTTTCACTTTTCTTTCCTCAAGTAAAACATTTTGCTCCATTTATGTGTAAATATGATTAGACCTCCACTATGTGTTGTGCACAAAATAAAGCTCAGCTTGCTACAGAAGTTCTGACCCTATAGCCTTAATTTTTGCAAGGCTCTGAGTGTCCTGACCTGTGCTATGTAATAAAAAAGCTGAGTTTAGGACCTTGTGAGGAACAGCTTTAGTTCAATGGAAAAGACTGCTAGAGGTCTGAGTTTCCTTACAGTCACTCTTAATTGTGTCCTTTCAAGTGTTCACTAGAGTCATGGATTATGGGATGTGACATTTTTGCAGTCAGTGATATGTTACTTTTACCTGCATGCCCTGGTCCTGTGGGAGTCAGGTCAGCACTTTTATAATGGCTTTAAACAGCTGGCTATTTTTCTTCCTTTAGGCACACAGCTGGCAGCCTGGAATCAAGAACCCATACCGTGGGTTGGTGGTGTGGCCTGTACCTGAAAATGTTGAAATTACTGTGACTCTCTTCAAGGTATGTTTTCTTTAAAGCATAATCTTTACTATTTCCTAAACAACACATGAAAAATTCTGCCTGGAAATGCCAGATTAGAGTCACAAGGTCTAATCTTGCTGGTTTTATGTCATTAACTGCACAGCCTTATGTCCTCAGTTCAAATCTGGGTGAGAGGGATGGTCTGTTCCCTGCCAAAGCTGACTTCTGTAGTTTAGTTAACACACTGAAATACCCATTGAGCTGATTACGGGGAGGCATTGGCAGAGAGTCCAGCACATGTGTAACTGTGCACGTAGTACATGTGTAAGGACTTGGCATGGGTTACAGCCTGGTAGGTTTTCTTTAAATACTGGAAGGGAGAAGTTGTCGTAACACAGTCATTTCTAGACTTCCTTGTTCAGTTTCAGAGTTTCAGTGCATGCTATTGGCTGCAACAGAATCCAGCTCCTCACTTCCCATTATTTAGAATGCTACACAAGCACCACAGCACTGATGTGATTGCAGCTATAAGAGTGGATGTGCAGCGTAGTACAGAGAATTGTAAGATTTAACAGGGAAATTTTTAATTTTTTTAATTGCATTTATTCTACTAAAATAAAGAAGCTTATTTGTGTGTCTGTGAAGCAGGAGGAGGAAGTGATAGTTATGCTAGAACTTATTTCCCAAATATCATTGGGCAAGGCCCTTTCTGCATAAAGATAAACAAGGCAGCTTTGCATGTGTGACAGTGTAGGAGGCTGAAGATTTTGGGATTTTCATTCCATAGTTCTTCCTCGTTCTTTACTCTGGTACCTTCATCTACATTCTGACTGTTCTTATTTCTAACTGCTCCCTTTGCAGCTTAGGGCAACAGTAACATACTTCTTTCTAATTAGTAATATTTGTATTTCTTTTTCTTGAGGACTTTTCTGAGCTTGGAGTTGGCTTCTGATTAGCCTTAGAATGGGAATTTATTACTTGGTTCATTAAACCTAAAAGAAGACGGTTGTCTCCCCACCCCCCTCTCGCCCTTTTTTTAAAATATCTGCTTTTGGGGTTACTCATGAGCACAAACTTCTCAGGTTGACAGTGATCATAAACTATCATAAACTTGTCTCTGTTCTTAGCAAACATGTAGTCTACAACTGAGATTTAAAAGTTCACTACCAAAAATTGTTTGCTTCAAGGACCTCTGCTTGGACTAAGAAACTTGTCAGCATTATGTGGCAATGCCACATGTCTGTGCAACCTGAACATGGTTATGCAGCATTGTAAATGTTGCTTGATATTTTCAGCATTTAAAGTAAAGCAGAAATGTACACAAATCTTGATTGTAATTGTGATGTTAGGTGAAAGATGAGAAATAAAGTTTCTCTTGGGTGCAGCTCTGATATTGTGGCTTTGGAGTGAAGGTGTCTTCCAGCCTTCTCTTGCCATCCCATCTTTTTATTTACACTTGTACTGCTTCAGGATTCTGTTAATGTAGAACAGCAGAACAGCCTTGTTAGCTGTGTAACTGAGACTGAGGGTAGGATTATCTAGTGAGGGATGGAAGGGCCTCTGGAGCCAGTGTCAGATATTACAAAAGCTTAATTTTACCCAGCACTAATTCTGCAGGCAGATCTGTTCACTGGACTTCTTCCTCCCCCCAGAAATGAGCCTTCCTATCACAAGAACTGGTCTGGGAGGAGAGGTAGAGTGTGAATAACTCCAGCACTGTGCCTTCTGTAAGTGGTACCCACTGGTCTCCGGGGGTGTGAGCACTTGATTTATAATCAAAATATTGAGAACCATCACACTGTCAGGCAGCTCTTACTGTAAAATCTGCTCTAATTGATCCTCCAGCTCTTCTAACAAGAGTGCCTGTAAGTGGCAAACACCCTTTGTTCTCTGTAAGGGCATGCACGTGTGGCACAGAGCAGTTTGTGGAGCAAGCTGTGTGATGCCCCAGGAGTGCTGTAGCTGCGTGAGACCAGCAGCCTGCCTGAGCCAGCGGTGAGGGGCAGGGGATTGCAGGCAGAAGATGGTATTGCAGTTCAGGCTGTGCCCAGTCCCCTGCTGGCTTTGTTGGCTCTGTGGTGCTTCAGCTGCAGCACAGGACATGTCCCAGCACCCACAGAGCTGGCATTTCTGTAGCTGGTAGGTTTTGGGCACAGGCAGTCCAAAAGAAGTGGCTGTCACACAGCTGCTGCATTGTCTGGGCAGCACTGCAGCAGTGGGAAGGGAAGTATGTGATGGCACTCTGCAGCCGCCTTCCTGGGAGCTGCCTTGGAATTTGTATTGTTCCTTCTTCTAGAAGGAAGGGGACAAAAAGACTGAAAACAGGAAAGCTCAGAGAAAGAGGCTGCTCATCTTGCAGTTCTGTATCAATCCTTTTTGGAGCCAATCCCCTGCAAAGGAGGGTGATTGCTGAAGGTTTGGCACTTTGCAGTGCATGCACTCAGCCTGGCTTTGTTTAACAAACAGGAGCTGCGTGCTTTCACCACCACCTGAAGCTCAGGGAGCTGCTGCCTCCGTGTCCACCCTGGCAGAGCCCAGAGCTGGGAGCTGGCTGCTCCCACAGAGCTGTGTAGCAATCACAGATAACAAATGAATGCAGTGGTGCTGTTGGGAATGGAAGGAGTGGGCTCCAGACAGACAGCTATGTGTTGTGGGAAATGATTCGCACAGTAGTGGCAGCGCATTCGTAAGTGGCTGTTGAAATGTGTTACTGGTAGGATTAGGAGATAAGTCAAGGTTTCAAGTGCTGATGAGAATGTTAAGAGTCTTCTCTCCAATAGTCAGTTGTGGACACTTGAGAGCTGGCTAAGCAAAGTCCCTGTGATCAGTCAACAGATGAGATATTCTGCATTATCTGCACAGCCCTACTTCGGGTGTTACCTTGCTTACATCAACATATTTGTAATTCTTGCACAAGCAAAGTACTGAAGAGATTACAACCTTCATTTAGAAAACTTTATTTCAAGTAAATGTAAGCTTGCTTGTTTGTTTGTTTCAGTTAATTCTGGGCTGTTGGTAAAATTTCATAATGCCCTGGAGTCATGTGGGGAAAAGAATCATATGGATATATTGATTCAGCTTTCCTTGACTAGCTGTAGCTCCTGCCCATCCAGCCATTAAAGTACTAATTACATAAAAAGTTCCATCTGTTCTGAAAGTTTAACTTCTTCCTTTGCTGAGCTCCACACTGATGTTTAGTTATGCCTTGGGGTTTTTTTCAACCAAACTGGGGAGAAAGAAACATCATGAAACAGTAAGCCTATTGTGCATTTAAAATCCATAATTTGTAGTGCTTTCATGGAAAGATTCACAAATGCCAGAAAAGCCAGAGATGAATTCCCACTTTTTTTTTTTTGTTTTGTTACCATGGTTGTGCTCCAGAAGGTAATATTTTGGAGTCCCTGCATTAGCAAAGTTTAATTACCACATATGAAAAGTTGTATGCTTTTCTGTAGGTTTGTATACAAACACAAATCTTTATCAGCTGACACAGATTTTAAACCAGAAATTTTCACTGCCAAGCAAGTGCAATGCTTTTAGTAAAGCTAAATGAACATCAATTGTACTATGAGGATTTAAATTGCAACATCATTATTTTCTAGCTTAAAAGCAAAGTGACTTCCTGTTCAAAAATGTTTGTTCTTCAGGAGTAAGCATGGACTTTGCTTCATTGGATTACACAAAACACTTGTTTTGTCAGTAATGTACATGGTTTATCACACCAATGTACCATTGCAACAGCAGGGACCATTACCAGCTCTTAATACCAAGGTTTGAAAAAGACATTTTTAAAGGCATAGCTTTCTAAGCACACAAAAAATATTTATAAGTAAAATAAGAATGAAATAGATGATCAAGGCATATTTGTATAGTTGAAAGTATTCCTGTCCTGTTCCCACGTATTCCCAGAAAAAAATCCCTATCATTCTTCTTGAAAGCCCAAGTCAATTATGCTTTGCTTTTACAGAATAATAACTGGCCATGCTGTAGCAGGATCACTGCAAAAATGCCAGTGCATATCTCAGGGGAGGAAGAAAAAGAAACCAAATCAGCCCAAAACCTCTACATAAAGTCATTTCTCTTAAGTAAAGACCAAGTTCAGGTTCAGAGCATACTTATTTCAGTTTAGGAGGGAGCAGGGGCTTGACCAGATACTATGGAGAATACTCCATAGGAGCAAAAACCAGTTCCATAGGCAAGGTGTTGTGTGCCAGATACAAAAATCATAAGCTTGGGGAAGTAAGCACATTTGCACATCAAAAATTTAAATGGTTAAAAACTTAAAGGATTAGTGGGGGACTAATTTTTAAAAAAGATAAAAAAAAAAAAAAGACATTCAGTGCTCGTTGCCTTTCTAGCCCAGAGGCTTGACTGGAAAGTGTGAGCTTGGTGTGGTGATGCACAGGGGTGTTTCTGCCAGTCTCCTCAGAGCTCCCTGCTTTCTGGCAGCTCCAATTAAAGCTGATCACAGTTGTATGTGATTTTCTAGACTAATCAGACCTCTGTAATCGGCATTGAAGGCAAGAAGAATTGGGTCAAATTTTGAGTCTTGTGCAGTTTCAAGCAGGCAAGTACAAAAGCTGAGGACAGATGCTGGGGAACCCAGAGCATCTGCTGCAGGTCACTGGTGAGGGGAGATCACACACCCTGTCAGTGTTTGATGTGATTCACTGTGACAGTCCTTAAGCAGTTATTCCCCAAGAAGAAAGACTGAAGATTAAGGCTGGTATGAAGTGATCTAATTGAAAGACAAGTTTCAAAAGCCAGGAACACTTAGGGAGGAGGCATGGGGGAGGAAGGGACTAACAGTCTGAAGATCTTCCCTACCCACTCTGGCTGCTGATTAGCAAATGCAGCAGTCCCCTGATATATCCTTTGTTCCTATTACAAGGAATAGAAAAGTAAATCTGAATATAACCAGAATTACTGGAAAAGGTTTACCTTTCTTCAGTCATCTGAAACCACCTTGTACTCTGCAGAAAGGATCTAGTCCTTGACAAGAATGGGTTCATGACTTTTTTGGGTAGTTGTCATGTGGATGGGCAGAGTGATGGACTGATCAACAGAGAACAGAAAAATGTGTCTGACATATCCTTTGCTCTTCCTAAGCCCAGAAGAGTAGACTTTTTTGGGTAGTTGTCATGTGGATGGGCAGAATGATGTCACAGAAAGAAGCTAAGGGGTGGGATTGCAAAGAAAAGCTGATGTCCCATCTCTTGCACAGTTCCCTACTATTTGCTTCTTACCTGAGTATTACTTTTGGCACACTAAGGTCATCTTGTGAGACAAAAAATAGATGAAAAAAGGGTAGAGAAAAAAGGCTCTAAAACTTAAAGATGCTGAAAAGGAGCATCAAACTGAGACAAGAAAATGGGACCCATGTCTTGGTACTAAAAATGATGATTCTTTTTTAACATAGTAAAATGAGGAAGAGCAACAAGTTGTTCAGTCCATTTTCCCTAATGCTTGCAGTTCTCAATTAATGGTGAAACCATAGTGAATGTTGGATGCAGTGTAGTTCTGCATCTATGGTACACTGGTGAAGGAATTATGCATTACCAAAAAAGAAATATCGTGCCAACTCCCCTCATGTTAAAGCGAGATGTGAGGCAATTTGTTCCTTGATCTTTGTAGGTAATTTTCATTATAATTTGCTTTTAGGAAATGGAAATGAGGTTTGTTTATAACTCTTGACTTTAGGTATTCTCAGCTTGTATCTGCTTGCAGGTGAGGTGAAGTTTTGTGTGCCCTGTTACCAGAGAGTGCTTTCATACAGTATTGGAACATACCAAAGGCTGCTAAAACCATTACTCCTGGAGTTCTTCTTCTTTGGAATAGCATTTTTTTCCTAAAGCATAGTCACCCATGCTATAGTCCTCAAATTATAGTTTGCTAGATACATCACATGGGTTTTTTGTGGGGAACGAATGGAGAATATGGATTAGCCAGTGAGGGAAGCATTTGGTGTTGTGTGGGGTTTTTTTACTGGTATTTACTCTTTTCAAATCCAAAATAAGATGAAAGATTAGCCAGTTTTATAGAAACAACACCTGTTATGGAGACACCTGAGGAAATGTTAGCCCCAAATGTAACATGTTGTTTGCAATAGAAACTGTGTTATAACTGTAATCATACAAGAAACTGTGTTATAACTATAATCATACAAGTATCTGTTTACATGATCACGTACTAAAGTTGTAACTTAATTAGATATAGGACTCTCTATGCTGCTCCTTGGGCTTCTGATAAAAGCATTTTAGTGTAAGAGTGAAGCCACTTAGGTGTCTGTTGCAAGGAAATGCTGAGGCTTATGTATATAAAATTATTCAGGGTTTTCTCTTTCTGAAGACATTTTAAAACTGACAAAAAATATGGCTTAAAAAAATCTGGATTTACCTTTAAATCGGGAATATCCTACACATATGCAAAGTGTTCATATATCAGCATATTTCATACTCTGAACATTTGGTTAGGCTGTTAATTAGAGAAGTCCTTGAAGCTTTTAAGGGCTGTTTTGGGGCAATACACTGCGTTTATCTTCCTGAAGTGTTCACAACTTGCTTTCAGGTGTGTGCTAAAATGTCGAACATTAAGGAGTCTTTGCATTATACAGTGTTATTTTGCTCTGTCAGATGATCAGAAATACTCAGCAGAGCACCTGGTTCTGTAGCTCTCAGAGGTGTGAGTTTTATTGCCACTGACAGAGCTTGGTGTGGCTTTATAGGTTATTGCCTTGCAGAAACAAAACAAGGAATGTTTTGTTTGTTACATGGGATTAAATACTGGACCATGACTTTGGAAGCAGTTTTAGGTCAGCCTGCAAGCTTGTCCTAATAGCTTTTGGGGGAGTTAGGGGAAAAAAATTGAGCAGGATGAAATATTTAAGAGTTGAGTCACTTATTATGGAGTAGCTTATTAAAACATAAAGTGGTTAATGATCCCATTAAATCTCATTATGTCATTTCATGCTGTATCAAAGGAAGCAATTAAACAGAAAGGTAATTGCCCCAGGTTAACTCTTAAAAATTTAAGTATTTAATAGCTGGATTGCAGAAAGTTAGTTACATCTTTAGAATTTATATAGTATACACCAAACCCGCAGCTATCGTGTTTTATTTATATAATGCAGAATTCCACAAACCTGATTAATGTGATGGAGATATAATTACATAATCTGATATTTACAAGACCTTAATTGGAACATGGAGATACCTCAGTATAATTTTGTATGTATCTACTTGCCCTTCTGTCCTTATGGTAACTGGCACAGCATGTTTTGACACTCATTTGCAGTATTTAAATTAGTCTCTTTTTTAAAAAACCTCTTAAAAGATTTATTCATATATAAAAATGAATCACCAGTTTTGACATAAGTTTTTAGTAACATCTTATATTCTTTCACTGAAAGTGTTTTACAGGGGGGGCTGCGTGGGAAACCCACCTGGCTGGGTTTTGAAGGAAGGATGCACAGGAGGAGATGGGATAATATCCTCCTAGAGGTGTTATTGTAGTTCATCCAAAGAGGAGGTTTATTTAAAAGCACACTTCCCAAGTTTTTTGTGTCCTGGAAAATTTTTTAAAAAAACCAAATGACAACTTTTCTCTGGTTGTTGGCGTTATAAACTGTTACTTACAAAATATTTTGTCTATTCAAAGAGAACTACTTAAAAAGTGATACAGCACCTCTCCCCACTGTCTGACTTCAAAGCAAAACTGAAGTGAAACAAGGGTTAAAGCAAAGACTAAGATAAGGTGAATCAAGAAGATTAAATGCGAGGCTTGTAGCATTCTGGAAATAAAAGGAAGATGGTACTAATGGATATAAAGTGGGAGCAAAGTATATTGATGCATTTTGTTAATTTAGAGCAGCAAGATGGAATTGCCATGCTTGCTGTAGTGTCAGAACCAGTTGCCAAATAGTAGCAAGAAAATTGAGATGCTGAGGGGCCTCATATATGATGTTGGGAAATGCTGATGATATGGAAGTGGCATTTACCTCCCAACACCTATGGCATGCAAACATCAGGGACAGAGGAGTAATTGAGTGTTTTCCTGTAACTAGAAATAATAGGATAGAATTGAGGTATAGCAAAAGCAGGTTTCATATAAAAACAAAGACTCAGGATACATTCTCTTAGTGTGAGAATCTATTTTGCAAGAGGAGTAGTTTTACTGCCGTTGTTCAGAACTTGGACTGGATGATTAATTATTTTTTAAAAAACATATTTTGTTTAAAGTAGGATCCTTGATGGAGGCTTGAGAGGTATGACTTACTGTCTTCTCCAGTGTTATTTTCCTTTTAGACAACAACAGTACAGACCACTCCAGCAGACTGAAAGCTCATTAAATTTAAAAAAAAAAAAAAGAGCCAAATATATGAACTTCATTGTTATTTTTCTTCCTGTTAGTGAAAATGTTTTCTGATCCTCACATGTGATACCATAGAAATGTTGTGAACTCAGGATAAGTATTTAAGAAATCTGCAGTGGAAGGAGGTGCTGTGCTGAAGCTGTGACTTTGGATCTCTGCTTGTGCCCAGAGAGTCTGGGCCTAGGGAGGTTGGGGTGTGCATCTTCTCACTTCTGGTGGAAGCAAGTGGCTCCCTCCACTGTTGTCTGCAAGATTTGGATTTGTTTTGTTTATTTGGGAGGTGGAACTTGAGAATTAAAGAGAGGGTTTTCTTTTTTCTTTTTTTTTCCCCACTGGATGAAAGGAAGCAGAGTTACAGGCCTTCGTCAGCATCAGCCTCAAGTTTGTATTTTTAGGAGTCTCTATTAAATCCTCACTGGCAGTTTTACCCCAACTTGTTCATCATATAGTGGACATCCCATAAATCCTACATCCTAGCTAAAATATTTCTCTCTGGTATCTTCTGTGGGTAAAAATAATTCAGAGTATATGAAAAGCTGTGGCTGTTTTGCAGTCTCTTGCATCCTGGATTATTTTTAGACTCAAATTCTCTGGTTTGTTTTTCTAGGATCCTCACGCTGAAGAGTTTGAAGACAAGGAATGGATGTTTGTCATAGAGAACGTAAGTTGGAATGTTGTTTTGGTTTTTTTATACGTATAAGACTTAATAATTTAAAAATATTAGAAGGTGTCCATATGCTAAAAAAAAGTCTTGAATAAAATTTGAGCAGCTGAACCACCGTAAATCCTAGCTCTGTAGTAATGAAGGCTTATTAAAATACCTATTGTACAATAAATACCTATGTTACAATTAAAATGCTGGAGAGGGGAGTGCTATACTACACTGCTTAAATTCCTTCCCTGTAAGCCTCAGTCTGCCTTGCATTAGTGTGCTGTGAGCAATGGAGTGAACAAGTTAGAGCTGGGTCATGACTCACTGTTTTATGGGCTGTGACACATTATTTGTGTCTGAGCAGGGCAGTGAACGAGTCAGAGCTGGGTTATGACATCTGTGTGTCCCAAATGGCAGCGCACCCTTCTGGGCTTGAGTGCCACTATCTAGGGGAGAGCAGAGCTTCGTTGTTCACTTTGATGGGTGAGGAATTTGGGGCAGGACGGGAAGGTGGCACCAGCAGTGAGGAGTGTCATGAGCTGCTGCTCCCTTGGATCCCTCTGCACGTCCTGTGCCCCGAGTGAAAACCCAAAAGCTGCTCCTGTGAGTCTCCAACTCCTCCAAGGCAGGAGCTCCCAGAACTTCCCGGGGAGCTGAGTTCCTGAGGGCTGCACAAACAGCAGGCTTTGCCAAAGTGCACTGCTTGACATTGCATACAGCAAGTGCTGCATGAAGTACTTTTTTCCTTTCCCTTCTCTGTTCCGGGCAGCAGCTTCCGCTCTGGGGCTGCCTGGCTGAAAAAAGGGGAAGCTGCTTTACCCAGGATTTTCTTGAAAAAGAAACTTCAAATATATTTTAAAGGATTGTGGTAGCAAGACAGTGTTTACTGCTCATTAATATATTTCCATCATGGACTGTTTCACAGTAACATAATTTTGATGTTGTTTTTAAACAAAAAAGAAATTGCTCTTCTACCAAGTAGTACCACATAGCACTGAAGTGTGGGGAAGCAATGGATTTTGCATTATATCTTTTTTTACCTAAAAATGCTTATTTTTCTTGTCAGTATTGGAAAGTGATTTGAATATCTAAAGGTTTATTCCTATCATCAGTAACAGAACATTTAAAAGGGCTGAAAGAAAAGTGCTTTATTTATACTTTTGTTTTAAATGTCAAGTTTCTATTTTCACCTATGATACTTGTTAACACAAAACCTAGTTTAGTTACTGTTTCCTGGAGTTTCCTTTTCTTTCTCACGTAGTTTATTTTAATCGGGGAAGTCTCCATCCCCAGCTGTCACCATACAAGTAGTTGTGGATAAAACAATGTCAGTGTATTTCTCAGCCAGCCCCTCTGGGTATAGCTGGATTTCCTGTGACGTTGCAGATGATTTTTTTTCAGGATTTTATATGGGGCATGTAGGCTGAGCTTGTGTCCTGCTTTCTTTACATGTCAGAGTATTCCATGTAGAGGGGGCAGCAGACCATCTGCTGCCTGCTGTTCTTGCTCTCTGCCTCACACCTTTGCTGAGCTGTGCAGGGCAATCTTGTGTTATGTGGCAACTTCTTCACAACCTCAGTTGTGCTGTTAGTTCATCTCACAAGAACTGCCAAATAGTCACTGGTAGGTAGATGCTTATTCTTTGATTGGAGGACATAGAAGTAATATCCTCAGAATTATATATTTAATAGTTTTACCGCAAAAATTACTGAGAGCTAAAGAAACTATGAAACTGACTGCTTTCAATCCACCTTTTTCTCCCTTTTTTTTTTTCCCTAATGCTGAAAGAGATGGAGAAACTCTTTTCCCAGGGTAACAGCTCCACTTAGTGGTGGATGAAAACATCTTCATCGGTTCGAGCAAGTCACAGGTGTTCCAAAGGCTGGCTGACATTCCAGAGCATGGAACACCTTGCCTGTTAAAAACAGGGGAGCCAGGGAGGCAGGAGGTTGTTCTCCTCTATAGACATTCACCCTCTTCGGGCCTAAAGTGTATTTTACCTGGGTTTACAACAATCTATTTGTCATTAACCTAGCAAGACCAGGTCACCTTTGGGAAGCATGGGGACATTCAGAGTCCTTTGGGACCTTTTCTCTTTTGTCCAGGGATGTTTTGTGTCCTGATAGACTGCAGGGCTTGCCCTCTTCTTTGGTCAGCAGCACTCAGAACACAAAATACTGGAGTCTGAAGAGCTTGCGGATGTGCTTTAATTGTGAAGCTATCTGAATTCTGCTAGAAATTTTGAGTTTGGTTTTTTTTTTTTTTTTTTTTTGATAAGTAAGTCTGACTGACTTTTAAAAGTCAGTCTCCAAAATAATTTTGTTATGCTTCAGCATGGCTGAGCAAAGACCAGGTAGAAGAGTTACACAGCTGCAGTTTGGCGCCTTTGCAGGCAGATGCTACCAAATTCCACACAAGTTTATTCTGCACTTTCAGAGGGATTTTTAAGTAGTGATGAACTGATTTGTGCAAGAAAGCCATGATGTAAATGAAAAAGAAGCAAGATACTTGTTTTTTGTGGTTATTTTCTTGTTGGGGGTATATATACACTACTTCATGATCCATTACCTTGATTATTGTAAATTTTTTTTCTAGCTGTATTTTTATTACCCTAGTCACTCTGTATTTGTATTCTAGTAGGTGAACTTTGTCATCTACTGTGTGTATAATCCATAAATAGTTTGATCGTAGAGTAGTTTCTTACCATTGAAATCTTGGTATTCATTTTCCATCAGCCTTTTCTATGTCTTTCTCTCCTTCACAGCTGTGTTCTGTGTATATTTACTGATAACTTTCTTGTCTCTAATTTAATCTCTCTTTAACTGCAATCTGTGTAATTGATTATCTGCTTTTACGTCATGAGGCAATTATTGGAATTCTTTTGGTGTTTTTTATGTTCTACTGAATAATAACATTGGGTGTTCAAGTTGGCTGTTGCAAGTAGGAGAGCAAGAAATTCACAACTAAGAGTAAGACTTGCTCATGTGTAGAGTTGTAGTAGGCTTTCAAAATCTCACAGACTGGTGTTAGTGTATTTGCCTATTCCATTTAAAGAACGAGGACAAGTTGCCTTCTATTTTATAAGCCCCTTGCTGTAGTAAGTGACTTTTCTCTCTCATTGCTTCTGTGGGTAACTGGAATATATACTGTTTCCATTCTTGGTTCCTTTCACTGTCTGAGCTCCTCGAGTGTCCCCTCAGAGGTGCCAGGAGGTGGGCAGTTTTGATACAAAGACTGCACCTCTGAGAAGAGTTCAGCTGGCCTGAAGTTTTGGGCTGTGTTTCTTGGTCTCTGCAGATTGCTTAGCTAGTGGAATGAGGAAGGGATAGGAGGGAAGAGAGGAGGTTTAAATTGGTCCAAAGGTGTGGAAGCTTTCACTGGCTCTATGTACAAGAACTTTGTCTCAAGTGAAAGTATCTGAAGCAATGGAAGAAATGTCATTTTGCTTCCTAGCATGCTCAAAGCATGGAAAAGTACCTAAGAACGTCCACTGAGGACAAACCATAATGTGTACTTGTTTGCTGGCAGTTTTGTAGACAGTTACTTCCTACATTCTTAATGAACCTTAAAGTCATGGAATGTTTTCTGACTTGAAACTGCACAGACTATGAAACAAGTTTCCCAGCTTTTTGTCAAAAATATTTTTGAGCCCGGATTTGTGTGTCTAGCACAGCGATGTATTCCAAAGTTCATAGTAGGCTTCTCTGTCTTCCCACCTGTGCTTATGTTTCACTGTTGTCCGCGGGTCATTCCCAGGGCTCAGGGCTGTGGTGAGCAAGCCATTTCCAGTAGGATATTCCACTGACAGTAATTGCTGTTGCTCCTGCCACCAACTGTAGCCCTCTTTTTATGTGGCAGGCCTATTAAAACTTGGTCTTTGCTAATTCCAGACCTACTGATTTGGCAGATGAATGGAGAAACATGCCCCACCTGTTGTTGAAGCTTTACTTGTACATTCCTGTGAGCTGGAGCTGGAGGCAGCCTCACCTGTCTTGTGCTGTTGCCTCAAGGCAGCATAATTCCACACAAACACTTGCCTAAACAGTTAAAAAAATAAAATGAAAGTGGGCTGTCTGCAACACTGCCATTTAGCCTCTTCCAGTGCTCCATTGTCCTTGTGGGGAATTATTCTGGCCCAGATCTTTGTTGGTACACTTTAGGCTGCCCTTGGTTTTCTTAGCAATTACAGCTCTGGAGAACAGTCTGCTCTCTGTCGCTGGAGGCTCTCTCCTCGCCTCTGACTAATCGACCCCAGTAATGTGACAGTGTTTACATGTGGGATTTCACTTCCCTTGATTGCATTAGCAGGTCATTAGCATTCTCTTTCCACGGATTCATTTATGAATGCTCAGTGTCCTGCTCTGCTCCTGCTGCTCATGACTTTCAGGAAATAGCTGCGCCCAGCTCTGCTTGAACTCTGTTACCTGCCTGGGGAAGCATTCCAGGCAGAATTTCCAGGTTGTTCTTATACTGAGATCTAGGAAACTGCACTGACTTCTGCATCTGTCCTTTTTAGAGAGTCTTGGAAAAAGCTTTGATGCCTTTTCAGACACTGTTTTCTAATGATGCCTTTTTGAATAGACCCACTGAAACTTCCGGAATGAGAGAAAAAAGGAGTCTAGAGTTTGTTGTTCATGCTGGCCTTTAGGGAAGAGTTACAGAGAGTAATGAATTTAAGCAGAAAAAGTGAGATCTGACTTTTTCTTCTGTGTGTCGCTCTTGTGTAGCTTCAGGAACCCCAGCCTAGAACGAGTTCTGAATTGGCTTCCACTCAAATATCATCAAAGCCTCAAAAGAAAAGAAACATTGGAAACATTAGAAAATGTTGCAAAACAATTGACATAATCAGCTTCATGTTATCGGTACATGTGTGTTTTTTAGTTGACATTCCTCAGTCCATGCTTCCCCTGTCGCCTCTGAAATTCTGGATCATGGTTGCTCATGATGATTTCTCATTTTGAATGCCCTGGAGCATGTTTTATCACTCACAGGTTTGGGGAGATTATTTC